GGGCCAAATTTTAGGATCTGGAATACGTAATATTTGGATTGTTCGTTACAGCAATACTCAATTGACGACGTTTCACATTATACAACAATTGTACGGCATGAGTCTTGGTCAAAAGAACCGAAAGAATTCGTTGCGGCAATGCCTTTATTGTGGCTTGTAAATTTAACAAATGTGTGCTCATTTGATCTTCAAGGAAGTTGCTTGAACAATTTTACGCATTCGAGATGCTTGTACTTCGAATCTCACAAAAGTATTACTGTATCGTTAGAGCTGACATAAACATTTCCGAACGCTTTTATTATCTCGATGAGTTCAATGGTGAGTTCAGCTACATAAAGAGCCGACGTTTTACGGGAACGTATACCTAATGTCTTATTGCGTTTACAAAATCGCACATAAGCTGAATTGATCAGAAATAAACCGTGGATTTTCGGGATACGCTTACAAAGTGCATGAGCGAGGAAGATAAGTCACGAACGATATATTTTGACATGATGACATACATTCGAACTTACTATAAATGTTTGTGACGTACACCTCGTAGTACTCGTAAAACTGTCAGTACCATTACCATCATGAGGCATTAGACCAGTTTACATCGAAATTTAAATATACCTTTTTTTTTAATACAAATTGACAATACAATTTTCATCTTTGAGATAGTTACAAATGAAGAAAATTATATATACTCTCTTAAAGTAAATTTGAAGTTAAATTTTATTATTTTTTATTTTGTATATAATTTCACAATTTGATTAAACAATTAATGGAATTACAGGTTCTGCGAATAAATCAACGAAAAAGTAATAACTATAAGAATCAACACAAGTTGTTATTTGCTAGGATAAATAATCTCAAAACTTAAACAGTATGTTTTTTAAAATTTGCGCGGCTAGTTTATAAAGTTGTTTCATTTATTAGCGTTAAGATATAATTTGAATACTGAGAAGATCTTTATTCGAAACGAGAGTTGTTTATAAACATTTTTTATTGTTGAATTTTCAAATGTACAGTCCAGTAAAACTCTTATTGTTTATAAATGTTACGTTAATAATATAAAATTAATGTTTACGTGAACAATTTGTGTTATATAGCTGTTACAGGCATCTTTCAATAATTTGTTTAATAATGAAATAGATTATAATTTACTTATTTATTCTGCTTTATATTTGTATGTGTGCAAAGATATTCGCACAAGCTCTTTTATCATATGTAAATACACAATACATAACACACACTTCTACGAAAACATAATTTATTTATTATTTTATGCATTAATTTAATTATAAATTATTCTCATACTTTAAATATAATATTATGCGTATTGAATTTATATTTATTACGATGTTGACGTAAAAAATTGTCCCGGGTAAGTCTCAGAACGTCCGATAAATGACGACACTATTCAATTCTTTCTAATGCGTTGCAATCGGTGTGGAAAATGACGAAATTTTCTGCTTCCTCTGACTTGCCATCGTGAATCGGAAAACGTTTTTCGACGATATCGAGTGTTAGAAGATCGTTCGTCTTAGCGACCGGTAAAGCGCAGCGTGCCTCGAAATTATGAGATTTTACAATGGGGTGGCACAGCGCGGGACAGGGATGCTCCGTGAAGTGGGAGCGTAAAGGAAGGCTTCTTAAGCGGCTCAGCGCGTAGGAGCGTGTAGATGCGAGAAGCCGACAAAGCTATCAGCGCCGAATGCATCCCGAAGCAGATGCTCTTCTCTGCTCGATGCTTCTTTCTCCATCTCTCTTCCCTCATCACTTCCCCCTTTCCCCCCCTTCCT